CCCCCCAACTCTCTCAGCCTGTCCTCCCAGCAGAGGGGCTCCAGCCCTTGGATCATCTCCGTGGCCTCCTCTGGCCCCGCTCCAACAGCTCCATGTCCTTCTGATGTTGGTGGCCCCAGAGCTGGAGGCAGCACTGGGTGGGAGGTGTCTCCCCAGAGCGGAGCAGAGGGGCAGAATCCCACCCCCCAGCCCTGCTGGCCACGCTGCTGGGGATGCAGCCCAGGATGCAAGAGGGCTTTCTGGGCTGCCAGCCTTAATATCCATAACCAGAACCTCATCCTGAAGCACAAGAAGTTGTTAACCTTCGGTTCATGCATATTTAAGAGTTTAATCCACACATTTGTATGGGTATCAGCAAGGATTTTTATGCCCATGACCTAAGTTAGTGTGCATCAGCTGAACCAGGACATATGGGCACGCTGTATTCTTCCTGACTGCCAAATATCTTAACATATCTTAACTTGAAGCCTTTTTCATCAAGGTGAAGGTGGGCACCTGGGCTGCATCAAAAGATGCATTGCCAGCAGGTCCAGAGAGGGGATTCTTCTGCTTTACTCTGCTCTGGTGAGACCTCACCTGGAGTATTGTGTGCAGGTCTGGAGCCCTCAATAGAAGAAGGACATGGACCTGATGGAGAGGGTCCAGAGGAGGGCCACAAGGATGATCAGGGGGATGGAGCACCTCTGCTACGAGGACAGGCTGAGGGAGCTGGGGTTGTTCAGCCTGGAGAAGAGGAGGCTCCGGGGAGACCTAATAGCGGCCTTCCAGTACCTGAAGGGAGCCTACAGGAAGGCTGGGGAGAACCTGTTTAGAAAGGCCTGCAGTGACAGGACGAGGGGCAATGGCTTCAAGCTGGAGGGGAACAGATTTAGACTGGAGATGAGGAGAGGGTTCTTCACTGGGAGGGTGGTGGAGCACTGGAACAGGTTGCCCAGGGAGGTGGTTGAGGCCCCATCCCTGGAGATATTCAAGGTGAGAAAGAGCAAAGCACTGCTCAAGGCTATCAAAAGCTGTTTCTTAAATACATGATCTTCACCCCGTTTTTCCAGGCTCCAGGGAGAGTGAATCCAAGCTCTAGGAGTTTGTTTCCAGCAGGGATAGGACCCCCCTGACCTGCTGGGGCTCCAGCAGGACACCGAGCATCTCAGGCAGCCGGATCGCTCGGCACCATCAATAGAGCCTGGAAAATGTTCCAAACAAATTGATTTCAAAAGAAAAAAGGGAAAAAAACCACCCCAACAGGTAAGAGGTAGATCTGTCACCTTGGGCAAAGAGGCTTGATACAACCTCTACCCTGCTCTCCCACCCTGAAATGGGTATTTCTAATCAAGACTCTATTTTACTGTATATATTCCATATTGTTAGATTGTTATTATGCCCTCACTATACATCCCCATAATTAATTCTTTATATTCTGCTGGATATTTTACGTGGCAGGAATAAAGAATAGAGCCAGCCAGCCTGCTCACGAGCCATACATGAATTCCAGCTGCAAAGGAATATTAATTTAAAAAAAAAAAAATAGCAGAACTGAACAATCCAAACTGAATTTCCATTTGCAATTAAATAGAACATGTCAGAAAACGACCTTTCCTGGCTGGATGAGGAGAGCAGATCTGGAATACCAGAGATGTATATGGAAAAAATAAATAGTGAAGGATCCCAGGATGGCTCCCCAGTGATTTTTCTCACCTGTCATCAGGAACTGTGACATTCCCAGTCCAGAGAGATGCTACTGAAACTGTCAGGCAAATATCAAAAGCCCTCAAAAGACTAATGCAACATCATGAGTCCCTTCTGCTTTTGTTTTCCATTGTTTTGGCAGAGGATACTCCTCGGGAGATTGCCTCAAAGATGCTTCTATTTTCACAGAATCACAGAATCTTCTAGGTTGGAAGGGACCTTCAAGATCATCTTGTCCAACCGTCAACCTAACTGACAAAAATAGACACCCACACAACAAACAAGGAGCATCATCACTAAACCATACCTCCCAGCACTACATCAACCTGTCTTTTGAACACCTCCAGGGATGGTGCCTCAACCACCTCCCTGGGCAGCCCATTCCAATGGCTGATAACCCTTTCAGTGAAAAAATTTTTCCTAATATCCAGCCTGAACCTCCCCTGGGGCAACTTGAGGCCATTTCCTCTTGTCCTGTCACCTGTGACTTGAGAAAAGAGACCGACCCCCACCTCTCTACACCCTCCTTTCAGGGAGTTGGAGAGAGCAAGAAGGTCTCCCCTCAGCCTCCTCTTCTCCAGGGTGAATAACCCCAGCTCCCTCAGCCTCTCCTCATAAGACTTATTCTCCAGACCCCTCACCATCTTTGTTGCCCTTCTCTGGACCCGCTCCAGCACCTCGATGTCTTTTTTATGGTAGGGGGCCCAAAACTGGACACAGTACTCGAGGTGAGGCCTCACCAGTGCCGAGTACAGGGGGACAATCACCTCTCGGGCCCTACTCCCCACGCTGTTCCTGATACAGGCCAGGATGCTGGTGGCTTTCTTGGCCACCTGGGCACACTGCTGGCTCATGTTCCCTCGTGTTTATTTGATTTCGCTTTAGAGAAGAAAAGCTACAAACCCCCTGAAATCTCACACCGTATCTACGAGTCAGGATCCCATTTTGGCTGATAAACTGCTGGAGATTTGGGTTTTTCTCTGCTCTCTCTCTGGAACATCAGCTGCAAAGCTCGAAACCTGCCTCAGCCTGTGCTTCGTGCCATCCCTCCCACTCAGCTGGGAGGCAGGAAGAGCTCCGAAATTCCTGAGCTGCCGTAAGAAATCTCCAGATGCCCTGGGGGAAATGCAAGTGCCACCCAAAAACGCATGGGGACAGTGAGATTCCTGCACTTGGAACACTCGAGGCACAGGAATTGCAACAAAAACTTATTTTAGATCCGGGCAATGAAAATATTTGTGCTCATCACGTTGAGGAGAACATATGGGAGGTCTGTTGCTTTCAAGTTGTGAATTGGCTCTTGACCTAAGGTCCCACAAGCTTTAAGAATCGCATGGCATAACTTACAACCAAATATATTTGTCCACCTGGACTGTTCTGACCATATGATGACGGTACAGAGAAGCAGCAGATGTCAAGGAGAGGATTTGGGCACCCTAAATCCCTGATTTTCACTAAAATAGGGACAGAGAAGCAGCAGATGTCAAGGAGAGGATATGGGTACCCTAAATCCCTGACTTTCAATAAAATAAGTAATATCCAAAGCGGCATTTTGTCACAATTCTGACAAAAGGAGCAAAAAAGCTTGGGGGATCAGTTGTAAAGAAATCAAAAAATGGTTTTGGGTTGGAAGGGACCTTAAAGATCATCTAGTTCCAACCCCTGCCCTGGGCAGGGACACCTCCCACCAAACCAGGTTGCTCCAAGCCCCCTCCAACCTGCCCTTGAACCCCTCCAGGGATGGGGCAGCCATAGCTTCTCTGGGCAACCTGGGTCAGGTTCTCACCACCCTCACACCAAACGAGTTCTTCCCCACATCTCATCTCCCCTCTTTAAGGGTCAAACCCTTCCCCTTCCTCCTAGGGCTCCCCTCCCTCCTCAAGAGTCCCTCCCCAGCTTTCCTGGAGCCCCCCCCTTGAGGGACTGGAAGGGGCTCCAAGGTCTCCCCAGAGCCTTCTCTTCTCCAGGCTGAACCCCCCACAACTCTCTCAGCCTGTCCTCCCAGCAGAGGGGCTCCAGCCCTCCCAGTATCTCCATGGTGGCCTCCTCTGGCCCTGCTCCAAGAGGTCCATGTCCTTCTGATGTTGGTGGCCCCAGAGCTGGAGGCTCCATCTCCTCTCTTTTGGTTTAAAACCTCCACTCCTCATCCCATTGCTGTGCAATGTATGAGTAGAGGAACAGACCACTTACTGATGGGGAAAAATACATGGGCATGAAACTAAGCTAATTACTGTAATTAAGGTGGAGGCAGGTTTAACCCACTTGTGAAATGCTGTGCATCGCGTGGAAGAAGCAGGAACAAGGCAAGCTCTGAACATGATGAGAGGTATCGTAAGGCCTAATTTCAAATTTAAAGAAGACAAGTAGAACAAAAAAAAAGCTCGAGAGGGGCACACCAGGGAGGGGGTCGTGTTTGAGAACACTTTCTAGCATTTCTGTCAAATAAGGAGCTGTTCTTAACCTATTTTATAGGCTAAACTTGCTGACAGAGAACTACCCCCGACAATGCCAGGAAGCCTGAGGCAAAGCAAGAAACCTGAATTATCTTCCAAGTCACAGGCCAAGGTTCCAACTCAACTCCATCCTCCCTCTCCCTTCCTCCAAGAGGCTTCATGAAGCTAAAGGGAAATGCTTGGCCTATAATTCTCCTCTTGCGTAACGCACACAGCATCACCGTGTTTGGTCTTTCATTATACATCACACACGGTGCCGCAGAACAAGGAGGAGAAAAAAATGAAAACAAAACCCAAAAATCATCTTTCCCAGCACATCCACGGAGAGGAATCACTCCCGGTAAAACAAACGCCACCAATGGCATGATTTTATTTCAGGTGTTTGGGCTTCCTTGACACAGTACAGGGAGTTCTTGTTTGATTCACAGGGAGGCTTTCATAAAAACAGCTTCTTAATAAGCGACGGGCACCAGCTGAATTCCTCTTATCTAGCAGCAAGCAAAAGAAAACTAAGGCAGGGCACAGATTTTATTAAACGGCAGCTTTCTATTTTTACCGCCTGAACACAAAACCCCCCCTTGTTCAAATGATAGGTTGTGGCAGCTTTCAGAAAAATATGCATTCAAAATTTATCAGAAACGTCCAGAAACGAGCAAATCATCCATCAAATAACCTCCAGCTCCACTTAACCACCTCTAGGCTTTGATGGGCGTTATCACTCAAGCACCTGGCTTTGAGAGGGCATCAAGAAATTTGTATTTTGGTTTGACACCAACACGTAGCGTGATTTTGGCCAAATTACTGGAGCTTTTATGACTCATTCTTTTCCTCCAGATATAGCAAAATAGGACATATCACCCCACCTCACTCATGACTTCAGTAAAATTGAGGTCTTTGGATGAATGACATCATACCAAGTACGTTACCACCCAAACTACGCACGCACCAAGGATAACTAAATTGAAGCCAGCTTGTAAGCCCTTAAGATTTCTTACTGTTCTAAGCCCCACTCATTCATTTCGTAATTATTTAGGATATTCTTATGTCAGACCAGCTTCCCATGGAGACAACTCCATTATCATAAAGCACAGAGGGTCAAAGCTCTTCGAGAAAGAACTAGGACTCGAGCTCCAGAGAGAAAAGGAACAGACCTGAAAGAAAAATACTGGGGGGGAAAAAAAAAAATCCCCAGATTAAATAAAAGAATTGCATTCACATGTCCATGTAATTACAGGATTTGAAAGGATGTTTGCTCCCTCGGGAGCAATGATGTGTACTCAAGCCCTCCTACACCATGGAAGCTTTAGCTTCTCCTGTAGTTAAGTGAGAACTTGCATCTCATTCTCCCCAACTTGTCGAGCAGCAGAAATGAGAATTACTCAACCAGAGGGAGGGAAATCACCAAGAGGTAAAGAGATTTAAACAAGCCACTTGGATAGACACTAAGTAACAGAAGAGTCACAATGCTTTTCTTCTTTTTTTTTCCCCATTGCCTCCTCCTCCCACCCCCCTAAAAACCCTTCACGTTCAGAATTTTCTCAGCTCGGTGTATTCAGAGCTTCACCAACTGCAACCAAATCATGAAACACATTTTGCTTGGAGAAGACACACTTTATGAAGCTAAAGTACTGTTATAGCTTGCCACCTTTTCAAGCTCATCCTAATTTCTGGGAGTGGGCAACAAGACCTCTCCTAGAATTTAGAAAAGTAACTGTGTGTCAATTTGAACTGATTTGTCACCAAACACGAAGCAGTGAGGGGGCTGCAGGGCCCATGGCAATAAAGACAACCAGCCCCGACCTTGCCAACCCAATCTCATTTAAGTAATTAATCACTAAGTATTAAACAAGCAGTTACAGGATGAGGATGTGGCCAATGACCAGTTTTGGGGTCTTTGTTCCAGTAAACAGCATAAAATAGCTTCCTAAAGAACGTCCAGTCTTAAAACCCACTCCCTTCTGCTCTGCAAGTCCCTCCTCACCCCACAGCAGAACCTCTTCGCAGCTCAGAGCTGGGTACCTGATACATTTTCCCCACAGAGGTGTTGGATCTGTGATGATTTGGTAGATTTTGGGGAAAAAAACAACCCTGGTAGATGGAAAAACTGCTATTTTTTGGGAATACCTACGAATGCCATCCTTTGGAGCTCATCCCGCTGCCAGTAGCAGATAAGCTGCTCAAGCAGAACCCGACACTGAAATGCCATTTTGAAAGATTATTAAAATATAAAGGTTAAAGATTTTTATAGTTAAGAAATTTTCTGTGTATCAACTCTTATCCACCACAATCAAATGGGTTCTTCCCACAAAGGAAGACTCGGCTGGGGGGGAAATGCCTCACAGAAGACAAGAAAAGGGATGAATTTACCTGGTAGGTGTTGTCAAAGCTGTCATACATGAACCTGGTGATCAAGGAAGTCTTCCCCACTGAAAAAAAAAACAAGAAAAACAGATTCAAGGAACAATTTCAGTGCAAGTTTTAAGCAAATGATTTTAGAACCGTTTCAGGAGGGGTTTTACTCTGTGTCCAACAGATCCGTGTGTGCAATTAAACTCCCTACAAGCAAAAGAGCAGTTGTTTGATATTACAAGTGCAAAGTCACTAATAGGCACATTTTGCTGAAAAAGGCTGGCTCCTGTATCATTCCTGAGCAGCAGTTTTACTCTTAAACATCCCCGATTCAAGACAAAACTTGAACTAATTCGCTTGTTCCAGTTTCTGCCACATCATTGAGAAATTTGAATCGAATTGAAGGCACAAGTGTGATAGGTCTGAGAACCCCTACAACAAATTATTATACACCAGACGGCTCTTCTCGCTCATAAAACAAGACACAGACGAAACTTGAACTAATTCGCTTGTTCCAGTTTCTGCCACATCATTGAGAAATTTTAATCGCATTGAAGGCACAAGTGTGATAGGTCTGACAACCCCTACAACAAATTATTACACACCTGACGGTTCTTCTCGCTCATAAAAGAAGGAAGATACTTCGTTTTAAAACACACATCTTGTTGTGCACCCCCTTAATGTCACATGAACAGCAGTCCCTGCTCTCCCTACAAGCAAAAGAGCAGTTGTTTGATATTACAAGTGCAAAGTCACTAATAGGCACATTTTGCTGAAAAAGGCTGGCTCCTGTATCATTCCTGAGCAGCAGTTTTACTCTTAAACATCCCCGATTCAAGACAAAACTTGAACTAATTCGCTTGTTCCAGTTTCTGCCACATCATTGAGAAATTTTAATCGCATTGAAGGCACAAGTGTGATAGGTCTGACAACCCCTACAACAAATTATTACACACCTGACGGTTCTTCTCGCTCATAAAAGAAGGAAGATACTTCGTTTTAAAACACACATCTTGTTGTGCACCCCCTTAATGTCACATGAACAGCAGTCCCTGCTGTAGTATAAGACTGAAGAGCATCATCCTTGAGGAGCTTCTTCACCATCTGCCCCCAATGCCTGCAGCCCTGAGCCCTCCATTAACATCACCCTTCCTTTGATGAGGGATTTCCCTGCACCTTTTTGTGTCACCATGTCCTTCTTCTATTGAGGGCTCCAGACCTGCACACAATACTCCAGGTGAGGTCTCACCAGAGCAGAGTAAAGTGGCTTCACCATCTGCCCCCAATGCCCGCAGCCCTGAGCCCTCCATTAACGTCACCCTTCCTTGGATGAGGGATTTCACTGCACCTTTTTGTGTTCAAAGGTTCATACACTGTTAAAAATGCCATTATTCACCCCAGCGATGGGGGCTGTACTGGGCCCCCCTGGTCTAGTTGGGGGTGTCCCTGCTGACTGCGGGGAGGTGGGACTAGATGACCTTTGGAGGTCCCTTCTGGCCTGGGCAATTCTATGATTCTATGATTCTATAAAACACACACCTTGCTGCACCCCCTTAATGTCACACAAACGGCAGTCCCTGTCGTAGTATAAGACTGAAGAGCATCATCCTTGAGGAGCTTCTTCACCATCTGCCCCCAATGCCTGCAGCCCTGAGCCCTCCATTAACATCACCCTTCCTTTGATGAGGGATTTCCCTGCACCTTTTTGTGTCAAAAGGTTCATACACTGTTAAAAATGCCATTATTCACCCCAGCGATGGGGGCTGTACTGGGCCCCACCTCAAGGACTGGGTCCAGTTTTGGGCCCCTCACCACAAAATAGACATTGAGGGGCTGGAGCGGGTCTGGAGAAGGGCAACAGAGCTGGTGAGGGGTCTGGAACACAAGTCTTGTGGGTCCTGATGGGATGTACCCGAGAGAGCTGAGGGAGCTGGCAGAAGTCATGGCTGAGCCGCTCTCCATCATCTTCAAGAAGTCCCAGAAGACAGGTGAGGTGCCCGAGGACTGGAGGAAAACCAATGTCCACGTGGGTTGGGATGGCTCCAGAGAAGGAGACTCCACCACCTCTCTGGGCAGCCTCTGCCAGGGCTCTGTCACCCTCACAGGAAAGAAGTTCCTCCTCATGGTGAGGTGGAACTTCTTATGTTCATGTTTGTGCTCATTTCCTCTTGTCCTGTCCCTGGGCACCACTGAAAAAAGCCTGGCCCCATCCTCCTGACACCCACCCTTGAAGGATTTAGAGGTGTTGATCAGATCCCCCCTCAGCTTTCTCTTCTCCAGACTAAAAAGACCCAAGTCCCTCAGCCTTAGATGCTCCAGGCCCCTCATCATCTTTGTGTTCCTCTGCTGTCCCCTCTCCAGCAGTTCCCTGTCCTTCTGGAACTGGGGAGCCCAGAACTGGTCCCAGTGCTCTAGATGTGGCAATCCCAGGGCAGAGGGGCAAGAGGCTTCCAGAGATGTCAGTTCTCTGCAAGGATGACCATCAAGGAAGCAGGAGAATTTAAGCCAAGATTTTGGGGGTAGGCGTCTAGTTTTTAGGGTGGCTTCTTGATTTTGTGGGGTTTTTTTAAAACTTTGCATAAAACTTTCAAAAAAATCTCCAGTATCGTGCTAAGCAGCATTTTAATTCATCTGTGAACTTCGGTTAAATCTGTAGAAGAGCTAAACCAACAGGAATCCGGGAGACAGCCTTTGAGAAAAAGGATTTTCCCAAGTGTCAGGATTTGAAATCCCACGTGTATTTTTAACATATTCCCCTCCACAGGCACAATCAGGTTTCCCCCAAAGTTTAAAAGCTGCCTTCGCAACGGCAGAGCAAATATTCCCTTCGGTGAGTAGGTTTTGGGAAGCAACGCATCTCACATGGGCAGGAATCCCAAATCCCTTATTCAGATTTGTCCCAGCTTCCCCCCTTGAGATATGTTGAAGAACAGCACGAGCTGGTGCAGGACAAACAGCCACGGGCTGGGGGAGGAGGTGGGTTTCACTCCAGACCCAAAAACTGACATTCTCAAGAGACAGAGACCAGCAAATCCCACCCCTTCCCTTCCCATCTCAGTAACTGGTTTGCGGCACCACAAAGAAGCTGGTTTTACCTCACGTGGCCACTGATGCAAAGTCAAATTCAATTCTTTAGAGGTGCAACGGGATCACAGAATGATCTGGGGTTGGAAGGGACCTCTGGAGATCATCCAGTCCAACCCCCTGCCAGAGCAGGGCCACCCAGAGCAGGTCCCACAGGAACGTGTCCAGGTGGGGTTTGAATGTCTCCAGAGAAGGAGACTCCACCACCTCTCTGGGCAGCCTCTGCCAGGGCTCTGCCACCCTCACAGGAAAGAAGTTCCTCCTCATGTTGAGGTGGCTTTGTAGCCTCTGCTGTCCCCTCTCCAGCAGTTCCCTGTCCTTCTGGAACTGGGGAGCCCACAACTGGTCCCAGTGCTCCAGATGGGGCAACCCCAGAGCAGAGGGGCAAGAGGCTTCCAGAGATGTCAGTTCTCTGCAAGGATGACCATCAAGGAAGCAGGAGAATTTAAGCCAAGATTTTGGGGGTAGGCGTCTAGTTTTTAGGGTGGCTTCTTGATTTTGTGGGGTTTTTTTAAAACTTTGCATAAAACTTTCAAAAAAATCTCCAGTATCGTGCTAAGCAGCATTTTAATTCATCTGTGAACTTCGGTTAAATCTGTAGAAGAGCTAAACCAACAGGAATCCGGGAGACAGCCTTTGAGAAAAAGGATTTTCCCAAGTGTCAGGATTTGAAATCCCACGTGTATTTTTAACATATTCCCCTCCACAGGCACAATCAGGTTTCCCCCAAAGTTTAAAAGCTGCCTTCGCAACGGCAGAGCAAATATTCCCTTCGGTGAGTAGGTTTTGGGAAGCAACGCATCTCACATGGGCAGGAATCCCAAATCCCTTATTCAGATTTGTCCCAGCTTCCCCCCTTGAGATATGTTGAAGAACAGCACGAGCTGGTGCAGGACAAACAGCCACGGGCTGGGGGAGGAGGTGGGTTTCACTCCAGACCCAAAAACTGACATTCTCAAGAGACAGAGACCAGCAAATCCCACCCCTTCCCTTCCCATCTCAGTAACTGGTTTGCGGCACCACAAAGAAGCTGGTTTTACCTCACGTGGCCACTGATGCAAAGTCAAATTCAATTCTTTAGAGGTGCAACGGGATCACAGAATGATCTGGGGTTGGAAGGGACCTCTGGAGATCATCCAGTCCAACCCCCTGCCAGAGCAGGGCCACCCAGAGCAGGTCCCACAGGAACGTGTCCAGGTGGGGTTTGAATGTCTCCAGAGAAGGAGACTCCACCACCTCTCTGGGCAGCCTCTGCCAGGGCTCTGCCACCCTCACAGGAAAGAAGTTCCTCCTCATGTTGAGGTGGCTTTGTAGCCTCTGCTGTCCCCTCTCCAGCAGTTCCCTGTCCTTCTGGAACTGGGGAGCCCACAACTGGTCCCAGTGCTCCAGAGGGGGCCTCCCCAGGGCAGAGCAGAGGGGCAGGATGACCTCCCTCCACCTGCTGCTCACACTCTTCCTGATGCCCCCCAGGATGCCCTTGGCCTTCTTGGCCACCAGGGCCCATTGCTGGCTCCTGGGCATCCTGTTGTCCAACAGGACTCCCAGGTCTTTCTCCTCAGAGCTTCTGAGATGTAATCAAACTCACAAAATACTTTTCTTTGGTAAATCCCAACCTCTGAAGGACACTGAAATCTTCTGGCAAATCATTTCCCTTCCCACCTCCACCGAGATGTCCTGGAGGGAGATTGTCTAGAAACTATAAAATCTGAAAAGATTTTCTATTTCATATTATTTGAGCTTTCCTACCCTACCTTCACTCATTTCACATGAAAAGGGGGGAAATAAGGGGGACTCCCAGGTCTTTCTCCTCAGAGCTTCTGAGATGTAATCAAACTCACAAAATACTTTTCTTTGGTAAATCCCAACCTCTGAAGGACACTGAAATCTTCTGGCAAATCATTTCCCTTCCCACCTCCACCGAGATGTCCTGGAGGGAGTCTGTCTAGAAACCATAAAATCTGAAAAGATTTTCTATTTCATATTATTTGAGCTT